TACTATTTTATCTTATTGTTTCTCGATTTCATTGTTGTTGCACCCGGAAGCCTAGCTCCCGGAGTTATTATTGTTGTTATTTTGTCTATATTTCAAGGCTAAGTATTTTGTTTTGATCTCGTTCGTCTACTATTTTAGGATCAAATTAAATCACTTGTCTATAAACCACGTATAAATTTAACTGTACCATTTTACGAGTAAACACTTGGCTTGATTTTGGCTCTGTATTGCCGTCCGCATTTCAATTATATGAGCCACCCATATTCCTGTACTTCTTCATTGTTTCTTTATCAGTTTGCTTGGCTTCATTTTACTCAGCAATCTCTCTCTTTTCTTTGGCTCTTTCTCTACCATTTTGCACAGGGGTGGACGTTCGGTACTCGGTACGATATTTGAAAATTGTGGTTTGATACTTCGATATTTGATATATCAAGTGTGCATATTAAATACCGTACCAAAGTAGTTCGATATCTTCTTATTTGGTTCGGTTCGATTTCAATACGGTTTAGTATCGTACCATGTCTTTGTGAACTAAACAGTGCTGAACTACTGAATTCTAATTCATTAGAAAATTTCTAATTTCGTGATAATGAGTACATCAGCAACAAAATGTGAGCAGTACCGTTACTTCTTCTAATAATTTCAAATAGAAATCACTACATGAGCATAAGAATAGAATGTGAGTAGTTTCTTTACTTCTAATAATTTATAATAAATCACATCATTAGAAAATTTCTAATAAAGTGATAAATGAGCATAACAGCAACAGATGTGAGAAGTCCCTTTACTTTTCTTATAATAATTTCTAATGTTAGGTTGGGGCGTTGGGCTTAGTTTTAGTGGGCTACTGGCTAAGTGTAAGAACTAGGGGTGTACAAAGGAAATCGACAAACCGCACCAAACTGATAATCCGAGTCAAACCGAGAAAAAAAATCCGACTATGGTTTGGTTTGATTTGATTTGGTATTAGAAAAAACGACCATAATTGGTTTGGTTTGGTTTTAACTAAAATAAGTCAAACCGAAACCAAACCAACCCGACATGACATGTATACAAGTTTTAATATTATTTTATACATAAAAATAACAATTGTAATGTAATTTATAAATATTTTTTAAACTTTTTCATAGTTCTCTCTTTTAATGTATTATTTCAAGCTTGGTGTCACGACCCTAAAATCGACCCGGTCGTGATGGCGCCTATCGTGAAACTAGGCCAGCCGACACAAACCCAAAACCAACCAGAAAATCATATTAAGTCCAATTAAGTCATTAATTAACTAATATCCCATAGTATAAGTTTAAATAACCAGTCCGGAAGAAAATAGCACAAGCTCGACATCGGGGTGTCACCAGTCATGAGCAACTACAAAATCCGTCTAAGTACAAGGAAGGCTAACATAGTCCAAAAATAGAAAATACTAAGACAGTCTGAATAAGCTAAGAAGGAGAGCGCAGGGCTGCGAACGCCAAGCAACTACCTTGCCAACTCCGGAGACCCGCTGGAAGACTGATCATCACTCACTATCACATCCCGAGACTCCCGGATCTGCAAACAAGGTGTAGGGAGTAATGTGAGTACGCCAACTCAGTAAGTAATAAAAGTAAAAGCAGCTGAGCAGTAAGAAAATAGGTAATCTCACGTCATAGCACTACAACAAATACAATACATTTCCAAAACAGTCTAGAAATCAAATATATCGTAAAAATAACTCAGTTTCAGTAAAACCCTTTTCTTTCAAAATATCTCTCAATAGTTTTACAAGTGAATAAAACAATGAGAAAAATGATAGAACGTAAACAGCCCCTCGGGCAAAACATGTACCATAAACCGCCCCTCGGGCATAATATCAACAGAACTAGCCCCTCGGGCTACCTCACAATCGCTCATAATCAGCCCCGTGGGCAAAAACATGAAACAACAACAGCCCCTCGGAAAATATCACATCACTCACACTGGGTACCCGCGCTCACTGGGGGTGTACAGACTCCGGAGGGGCTCCTACAGCCCAAGCGCTATCACAAGCCATCTCATGGCATAATAAATCAGGCCCTCGGCCTCTCATATATCACAAATCAGTACAACCTGCTGCGGCGCGCAGCCCGATCCCATGATACCCTCACAACACAGGCCCTCGGCCTCACTTAGTCAGAACTCACTCAAGCCCCTCGGGCTAACAGTAAAAACAGATACTCGGCTCAAAATATCATTTATAAAACCGAAAGGAGTAAATAAAAACCGAGTAATGACATCAATAAAAGCACAGCATGACTGAGTGTAAATATTACCAAAAACAGTGAGGAAACAGTAGTAAAAAGCCCCTAAGGGTCCAAACAGTCGGCACAAGGCCCAAACACGGCATTCAGCCCCAAACATAGTAATACTTTCCAAAATATAATAATATCAAACAGTGTCCAATTAAATACGCGGCTTAATAGTCGTACGGGATAGACCATAACATCAAAATAGTCTAAAGGAACAAAGCCCACGCAAAAATATTCAAATTACATCGAAAATCCCGAAATTGGCCAAACCCGACCCCCAGGTCCACGTCTCGGAATTCGATAAAAATCACATAATAAGAATCCTCATCCTTCCACGAGTCCATACATATCAAGAATATCAAAATCAGACCTCAAATGGCCCCTCAAATCCCCAATTTAAACTCTCCAACTCCAAGCCCTAATTCCCCAATTTCAGTTCTTAAATACCACAAATTTCATGTCTAATTAGTTAGAAATTACCATAGAATCGAGTATTGAGTTCAAAAACCTTACCTCCAGATGTTTCCCTTCGAATCCCTCTTCAATACCTCTCAAAAAGCTTCAAAACCGTTCAAAAATGGTGAGAAATGGACAAAAAATCGCGAAGATGGGTTTTTATACATTCTGCCCAGGTATTATTTTCCTCTTCGCGAACACGGTAGCTCCCTCGAGTTCGCGAAGCACAAGCTTCATCAGACTAATATTCCCTTCTTCGCGAACGCGAAAACCAAACAGCTGACCCTACGCGAACGCGGAACGCTCCTCGCGAATGCGTAGCTTTAACTCATGAACCTTCGCGAACGCAGGACCTACATCGCGAACCTGAAGAACAAACCAGCTGCCTCTCTCAACAACCCTTCGCGAACGCGAGAGCCCTCTCGCAAACGCGAAGAAGGATTCTCTATAACAAAAACACCAGCAATTCAGCCAACTTTCCAAGTCCTAAAATGATCCGTTAGCCACCCGAAACTCACCCGAGGCCCTCGAGACCTCAACCAAACATGCCAACACATCCCATAACATCATTCAAACTTGTTCCAACCTTCGGAACGCTCCAAACAACATCAAAACATCAAATTACCATCGGATTCAAGCCTAAGAATTTCGAATCTTTCGAATTCCGCAAACGATCAAAAAGTCTATCAAACCTCACCCCGAATGACCTGAAATTTTGCACACACGTCACAAATGACACAACGGACCTACTCCAATCTTCAGAATTTCATTCCGACCCCGATATCAAAATTTCCACTGCCGACCGGAAAATGACAAATTTCCAATTTCGCCAATTCAAGCCTAAATCTACCACGGACCTCCAAAATACATTCCGATCACGCTCCTAAGTCCCAAATCACCTAACGAAGCTATCCGAACCATTGGAATTCATATCTGAGACCTTTTTCGCATAAGTCAACATCCGGTTGACTTTTCCAACTTAAGCTTACTCAAAAGAGACTAAGTGTCTCATACCTCTCCAAAACCATTCCGAACCCGAACCAACCAACCCGATACCACATAATACAGTTGAACAAGACATAAAGAAGCAGAAATGGGGGGAAACGGAGCGGTAACTCATGAAACGACCGGCCGGGTCATTACACTTGGACTTATAATTTTTGAATGATCAAATATGTTTTATAGTCCATAAAAATTAGCAACTCAAATAAAGCCCAAAGCCAACTCAAATCAATACTAATTCTAACAAAAAAAAAAATTCAATCAACACTAGGAATGACAATAGTATTGAATTTTTTTTTTTAGTTTTTCATTGGTTTAGATAGTGAAAATGCATAACTTACTTTCAATATTATTTAGTCATGTAATTAATACTTAGTACTTATTAGTCGTACTTATTTTAAAATGACTTAGTACTTTTAGATTATGTTTGTTTTTATTATGGCTTATTAATCAGCAATATTTATTTTATGTGATTTGTTGAGTATTTTAGTATAATCATGCATGACTCATCTCACATTATTTTATATTATTTTATTGAGTAACATCTTATATAGTTTTATCCTACTAGGACCTAAGAAATATTAGAGCACAAATTATATATTTTTATGCTATGAAGATTTTGTTGAAAAAAATCTAAAAAATTCGAGAAAAATCGAGATTGAAAATCCGATTTTTTTTTGGTTTGGTTTAGTTTATATATTTAAAAATCCAATACAATAACAACCTGGCCTATGTACACCCCTAGTAAAAACTAACAAGTTAGAAATTTTGGGCTGAAAATTGATAACTTGGGTTGGGCAGTGAAGGAAGGTGTATTTAAATAATTCGGTACTGAAATATCGAAACCTCAATACCGAGGACCGTACCGAAATACCGAATAACTGAAAAACCTATACCGAAGTAGTATCGAAATACCGAATAAACCAATACCGAAATACCGAATTAGTTCGGTCCGATTCTTAATTCGATTTTTTCGCTTTTATGCCCACCCCTAATTTTGCATTCTCCTTATTTTTTAAAGCTCATAAATCTGAAATCGAGTAAATTAAGTAAGAATCCGTTGAATTTTACTTAAAGACGGTAAAAGTATAAGTAAAAAGTATTGATATGTTATCATGCGTCAAAACTCTTGTTAAGATTCTTTTTGGGAGTATAGCATAATATTTTCAAAAATTATTTTCCATTAGATGTCCAAAATTTATGATTTTAGGGAGGAGTAACACGAAATAGTATTAACATAAATCAAAATAAATCACATGCATATTCATCAACCTTGCCGGAAAATACTTGAAGCGACATCATAGGTTAAATATGATAATACTGATAAGTTAAAGTATCGGAACTGAGATAAGCTATAATTTTGAGTGACCAAATCATATAAACATAAGACTTACCATTAGACATTATGGGATCAAAAAAATCCGAAAAATCGAACCTGACAGAATTAATTGGGATTTTTCAAGAAAGCACCAACTTCTTCTCAGGTATGCAACGACTACTCTCTCTTCTTGGCCCTTGCTCTGTATTTTTATTTACTCGCTGCAGCTTTCTTCTCCTGTTGCTTTTCCCCAAACTCTTTTTCCCGTTGAATCTCTTGCCGAGATTGATTTTGTCTTGTGATTGTTTATTTCTGAGATGAGAAGCCGTTGAATGCTACTTCTAAAGGGAATTTGGGAGAGCTAGGGTTTTAAAGTTTTGAATTTTGACAGTTTATTGAATTTGTGCATATATTATGTTTGAGAAAATGCTTGCCCGAGTTCAATTAAGCTGGGGTTGTGTGAACTTAAGTTCTGACTGACTGGTGTATATTTTTGGTTAGACTTTAAACCTAAAACATTTAGCTTCAGTAAACTACGTGCAGCATACAGTGGTTTCCTATGATATATGTGTAGTGGGGCTATATTCTCTTTCAAGCGTCCCTTGACTGTATGCTACAAAATATGGTCAATGAAAAATCTCAGTAACAGAACTTATGCCACAAAATATGATTAATGAAAAATATACAAACAGGTGACCTGAATTTAAAGAGCAATATGGTTGCTAAATCGTCATGCCGGGTGGAAGGTTAAATAATTAGAAAAAAATTATAATTCAATGAAGCTCGCTACGAAGCTCTTACAACTTGAACAAGAAAAAGAAAGGGTTGTTAACTGAGGCAAAATATCTAACCACATATTCCAGTTGAATTTTAAATAACACATAAAGCATGAATTCAAAAGAATGTACATTGATGGCTTTTTTACATGGCTTACTTGTTTGGCAGAAAGAACTTCAAGTTATCCAAATTTCATGGTCACCTTCTCAAAAGTTTCAAGATCAGCCCTCTCAACCTGGCATAAAATATGAAGTTGCAGAATAAGGTAGATGACATTTGAATCAAATTAAAGAAGAGGTATGAACATGCAATACCTGGATTTATGAATATTCAATACCTTAATTGTAGAGCGAACTCAACTCAACTTGAACAAACATAAAATATTAGAATCAAAATCAACCTAAGTACGATATATCATTCAGTGAAAGTGTTATGAATTTTTTCTAACACTTATTTATTTAAGCCAAGATTCATCTATCGTTTATTTTATTATCTACTAATTGAGATAATGTACTAGTCCCTTTTAGGGTTTTAGCTATTAGGAGTTGTGATGAGATTCATATGAACTGCAGAGGGTCTGAAAAAGATTTCCTCATTCTTTGATCTGTCTGAACAAGAACCGCTCGATTTTTCTGATATCTTTATTTGGTATATGATTATTTTTTTGAAATTGGAACTTCTAAAGGATGGTTTTGAATTTTGATTTCTTTCTGGGCCCTTATCGTTTGTCCCTCTTTAAATTTCAAACTGCTAATACCTTTGAATGTGTTCTTTTGTTGCAGAAATATGACTTTCTCTTTTTCCATAACTTTCTGGTTCACTTTTATTTATCGCAATAACTGCTACCACTTCGTTGTGGTTGAGTATTCTGTTACATCGAATTGATATGTTCTTGAAACTTAAGGTTCTACATTGGTACTTATCTTATCTTCTCTTCTTCTTTTTTCCATGTTAGGTGCCTGTTTTTCGCTGCATTAAGATTCTAAGTATAGCTTTTGTAACCAACTAACCATTTCTTCCATTCGATAGAATTTCTCAAGTTTGAGAATGAATAAAAGGGTTATTCTTTTCTTGCCACTCTTAGGCTTTTGAAGTAAAACTGGACTTGGTCAAAAACATTTTCTGCCCATTTTTAGTTGAGATAATTAAAATAATTAAAGAAAAGATGTCATTCCAAATTAAGGTATAATTCTGAATATGTCAAATAGAATAAATGAGCATTAAGATAGAAAATCTTTCCTTCAGCATATCTATGAGCTTTTTGTAAGTGTTCAGTGCAAGGGTCTTGTTAGTTCACCTATTAAAGGTGACATATGTTGGTGCATTAAGGATGAGCAAGAAAGATGCCTCCTTTACTTTAATTACACAAGCTCCTTAAACAAAGAACTTGCAGGCATAAGCAAAAAAGTTCTAGTCGGAAAAAAATTTGTGAAGATTTCCATAAGGCTTGATTGTCTTGATCAGCTCTTGAGATTTTTAGCTCAGAAACAAAAGACAGTAGAAGGGAAAGTGGGGCTAATTGATTTGTTTTCTTTAAAGGAAATATTGGGAAGTTACTTAGTATGTTTTTCTTTCTTACCTCAGAATGAGGTAAAGTGATTTTCTTCATGCTTTTATCCAATTCTGGAGAAGATGTTTTACTTTTTTACTTAAAGTAACGGTTCGTCCTGAAGAACTAAATTTTCCAAAGTTCACTCTTGTAAAACATTCTTGTTTTGATTGTACTTGCACAATACATTCCGGAATACCCTTAGAAATAGCATTGCTTCTAGATATGACTTTCTTCAAATCTAGAAGAAGAAATGCAGCTAAACCTTCATTACTTTTCATTTCATATTCCAATGGCTTACCTATTCAATGATAAAATCCTTTTTTTTCTCGCATGCATTTAGCTAATTCTATTTATGCCTTGTGTGGGTTTTGTGGTCTTATTCATTTGATTCTGTTTATACTAATTTTGTAGCTTTTGTAGTCTTGTTTTTTTTTTTCCTTCCTATGGCAGATATGAAATGATATGTATTTTGTTGGGATAAAGACTTAAATATGGTCTTTTTTTGTCCAAAGTCCTCGAGAAGGCAATTGAGAAAGTTGTTTGAACTTACTGACCCTTCATTCATTTGATTATTTTTCTACTCTCCTTGTTAGGTTATGGATGATAAATCTGTACCAGAGCTTTCTGTCCCCGAAAATGTTACCAAAACATTATTTCTTGTGTCAAACTCAGCTTCGTTAGAAAAGGCACTTGAGAAGCTGATAGAAATTGCCAAAGTTCCTGATAGAAGGTTTGATCTGTCCACTAAGAATGTTGTCACCGCTGTCCTCCAACTCTGTCGGTCTCTGTCATCTCCCTCTTGGCGTTACCTCCTTTTATTGTCTCTTAAGGCACTTAGAAACATGTGTGCTGGGGAGATAAGAAATCAAAATGCCTTTCTTGAACAAAGAGGAGTTGAAACAGTCATGGATGTTATTACCTCTGTAGGACTTACTATTGATCCTGATTGTGAGATTATCCGAGTGGGGCTGCAACTTCTGGGAAACTACTCAGTAGTTGGGAGAGAACATCAATGTGATGTGTGGTACCAATTGTTTCCTCATAGTTTCTTGAAGATTGCTGGAGTTAGAAGCAGAGAAATATGTGATCCTCTATGTATGGTCATTTACACTTGCTGTGAAGGTACTGATGGACTGCTAACAGAATTAAGTTCGGAGCAAGGGTTGCCGATTCTTAAAGAAATCATATGTACTTCATCAGCCGGTAAATGCCAGTGAATATTGTCACTCTAATGTATCCCAAAAAAATATGTTTTTCTTATTTGGTATCCATGATTGGTTTATGGTTTCATACCCTTTTGCAGTTGGTCTCAGAGAAGATTGGTTGAAGTTGCTTCTTTCAAAAATTTGCATCGAAGGCTCCTACTTTTCATCAATTTTCTTCAAGTTACATTCACATCCTTGTGTTGAGAACAATGATATTATTACAAATTTAGCTTACCAATTTGTTAGTGAGCAAGCTCATCTGTTGAGTATCCTTTCAGAAATCTTGAATGAGCAATTAGAGCATATTGTTGTTTCACATGTTTTTGCTTTAAGTATCTTTGGGATATTGAAGAGTGCTGCAGTGGTTGTTGACTTTTCTAACAGAGGGAAAGATGATCTTCCGACGGGGTCTGCTCCTATTGATGTTCTAGGATACTCACTCGTGATCTTGAGAGATATTTGCGCTTGTGGTCACCTGACAAGCTCTAAGGAGGAAGGTCCTAAGGATGTCGTGGATATATTAGTTTCCTCTGGGCTTATTGAACTTCTTTTGGACTTACTTCGAAATCTTGAACCTCCAACAACAATTAGGAAAGCAATGACACAGGATCAGGTCAAGGAGGCGACAGCATCTTCGTCATTGAGGGGTTGTCCTTACAAAGGTTTCCGGAGAGATATTGTTGCCGTCCTTGGAAACTGTGCTTATAGGAGAAGGCACATCCAAGATGAGATTAGAGATAAAAATGGGATCCTTTTACTGCTACAACAATGTGTTACAGATGATGATAATCCTTTCTTAAGGGAGTGGGGAATCTGGTGCGTGCGAAACCTATTGGAAGGAAATGCAGAAAACCAAGGGGTTGTTGCTGATTTAGAGCTTCAAGGAACTGCAGATGTTCCGGAACTTGCTCGACTTGGGCTTCAAGTAGAAGTTGACCCCAAAACTAGACGTGCAAAGCTAGTAAACGTCACGTGATATGTTAACAGATGAAAGTGAGAATAGTTAAACTCGGGAGTTGGCAAACCGATTGACATGTTCAGGGATGTGCCATAAGAGGTATAATGCATGACTTCATTTTATGTTATGTTACCTAGTCATAGAAGAAGAAAAATCAATACAAAATGTCTTCTGGAGGATTTTTAATTTATTGCTGTGTATTAGTAGCGAATATTGAACCAAAAGATCTATGCCTAGAGTGTAAGATGCTTATGAGGATTGATTATTAAATTTTTCGCCAGGTCAAATTATGAGTGTTTCCAGTTGTGCTTTTTAACTGAAAGGACATTCGTGCATTGTTCATTGTATCAGTAAGCATGAAGTAAGAGAAGTAATTGACTCGAACTGTCTTAGGTTATTTCTCTCCATTTGATTCTATTAGTATTTATGTTCTCAATGCTCTGTGTTTTAACCCTTTGGTCACCTTTTGGCTGTCGAAAAGGCAAAAGAAAAATGTCAAAATATATTCTCTCCGTCCTATAATTTGTTTTTTTGGTCTTATATATAGTTCGTTTTTCAAAACTCAATTTCAGAGAAACATGATTTGGTGATGTCTTTAATTAATTAAAACCTCTTTGAAAATGAAAATAAACGTAAATCTCATTGATTCGCAAGATATTTAGATGTCTATCCTCTTCAATGGAAAATGTTTTGTCCAACATTTGTTCCACCATTATAAACCTAGCTAATCTACGTGGTAGATGGATTTAGGGTTTGAAGCTTATGAGTTCAAGATTTTTAATTTTTTTAAGTTATTATTCGATTAATAATTTATACATATATATTTTTAACAAATACAAAATTTGAACCGAAGATATTGGATTTGATCGAATCCATAACCTAAACTCTAGCTCTGCTCATGTCTCACCATGAATGGCGATCTCCCTTGGAGAAAATTGACCAAACTATCCTTAGTAAACGCAATTATGCTATTACATGTTAAGGTCAATTTGGTAACTAGACGGTGGCAATTTCTGTTTCTGATTTTTTTTAAATAATTTAATAATTGCTAATTAACATTTTTGTATCGTCATATTATACACCCAGTTGTTTAGTGGGGTTCCGGTCAAAAATATACGCCTGGTAGACAGGGACCAGCACAACAAGCTCATGATATGATTGACACTGTAATTTTGTTCTTTTCTCAAAGGAAAAATTAAATAAAATAAAATAAACCTTGCATAAAAATGTATATAAAAATAAAAGGGAAAATGAGAATTTGATGAAGTCATTATCATGTATTAGTATCACCGGTAGCTCAGGAGATGTACAGGTGTATTCGGTATAGATTTTTCAAAAAAGGCTTAAAAAATAGTATTTGTTCATGAAATTTGATCAGTTTTTTTAAAAAAAAATCGAAGAAAACTGATTTGGGGCAATTTTTGAGTAAAATTTTTCTTTCACAAAACTCTAACTTTTTTTAAGTAAATGCATGTCCAAATACAACTTCAACTTCAAAATTTATTTTTTAACACAACTTTAAGAACTCTTTTTTTTTTTTTTTAAGTTTCAACCAAATATATATCCAAACGTGAAACGCCTGCTAAATCAATTTGATGTTTGGCCGTATGAGAACAAATACTTCTCAAAGAAGATATATTTCCACCAAATGACACACGTATCTCAATTGTAAGTAATACTCAGTATTATCAATTTTTAATATTCAAAATTGCAGGTCTCGCACCTGCGGAAAAGCCATTGCAGGTACGCATTTCCCTCACCTGGCCAGTCACCGCGTCTGCGGACAGAAAGGGCCGCTTCTGCGAGCCCAGCCGCACCTGCGACCACAACTCTCACACATGCGGTCACGCAGGTACGCCCAATCTTCCACATCTGCGGTTCCTGGGCTGCCCTTGATTTCTTGCTTTTGCGGCTCGTGGCTCGCACCTGCGGCTGGCCAAGCGCAGGTGTGATTATGAAAGATCTGGGGAGTTTTAGTTGTTGCTTCAAGCTCCCAACTTGGCCCGAGCCTCGTCTGATCGACACTCGAGGCCCCCAGGGGCCCCGCCCAAACATACCCACAAGTCTTGAATCATAAAACGGACTCGCTCGGACTCTCGAAATGCCCGAAACAACATTAGAACTAAGAATCACACCCCGAAATCAATTGAATCAAACTTAATAACTTCAAGTTCTTCACTTTACTTCCAATGCGCCGAAACGTACTTATACTACTCGGAATGATACCAAATTTTGCGTGCAAGTCTTAAATGATATTAGGAACTATTCTGAATCTTGGAATCCCGTTTGGACCTTGATATCAGCAAAACCCCCTCCAAACAAAATTTAAAGACCTTTCAAAACCTTCAAGAACCAACTTTCACTATTAGGCGCCAAAACGCTCCCGAGTCATCCAAAACCCGATCCGAACATACGCCCAAGTCCGAAATCATTGTACGAACCTACTAGAATCGCCAAATCCCGACTCCAAGGTCGTTTACCCAAAATATTGACCGAAGTCAAACTTGGCCTTTTAAGCCAACCTTAAGGAACCAAGTGTTCCAATTTCAACCCAAACTCTTCCAAATCCCGAACCAACCATCCTTACAAGTCATAAATCAGTAAAAGAAAGTACGGGAAGTCTTATTTAGGGGAACAAGGTTCTAAAAAGCAAAGCGACCGGTCGGGTCGTTACATTCTCCACCTCTTAAACAAACGTTTGTCCTCAAACGGGTTTAGATTCATACCTAAAGTGCTGAATAAGTGTGGATATCTGCTCCGCATGTCCTTTTTGGATTCACAGGTCGCCTCCTCGACTGGTTAGCCCCTCCACTGGACCTTTACCACGGAAATCCTCTTGGATCTCAACTGGCAATCCTGTCTAGCAGCAATGGCAACTGGCTCCTCGTCATAACCCAATCTCTCATTTAGCTGAATAGTGCTGAAATCTAACACATGTGACAAGTCGGCGTGATACCTCTGAAGCATAGACACGTGAAAAACCATATGAACCCCTGATAGGTTGGGAGGTAAAGCAAGCTCATAAAAAACCTCCCCAACTCGCCTCAACACCTCAAATGGACCTATAAACCTTGGGTTCAACTTGCCCTTCTTTCCGAATCTCATAATCCCCTTCATCGGTGAGACTTTCAAGAGAACCTTCTCGCCTTCCATAAATGATACATCACGCGCCTTCTAATCCGCGTAACTCTTCTGTCTGGACTGTGCTGTGCGAAGTCTCTCCTGAATCAACTTTACCTTTTCCAAAGCATCTTTCACAAGATCAGTACCATATAACCTAGCCTCGCCTGGCTCAAACCACCCGATGGGAGAACGACATCGCCGACCATATAAAGCCTTAAATGGGGCCATCTCGATTCTGGACGGATAACTGTTATTGTAAGCAAACTCGGCCAAGGGCAAGAACTAATCCCACTGCCCTCCAAAGTCAATTACACATGCTGTAAGCATTTCCTCCAAGATCTGAACTGTCCGCTCTGACTGCCCGTACGTCTATGGATTAAATGCTATGCCGAGCTCTACGCGGGTCTTCAACTCACTTTGTACGGCTCTCCAGAAATTGGAAGTGAACTGAGGGCCTCTATCTGATATGATGGAAACAGGCACGCCGTGCAACCGAACTATCTCCCGAATATAAATCTGGGCCAACTTCTCTGAAGTATAGGTAGTCACAACCAGAATGAAGTGTGCCGACTTGGTCAACCTGTCGACAATGACCTAAACCACATCAAATTTCCGCAAGGTCCGCGGCAATCCAACTACGAAGTCCATAGTGATGTGCTCCCATTTCCACTCAGGTATAGTCATCTGCTGAAGCAGGCTACCTAGCCTGTGGTGCTCATACTTGACCTGCTGGCAATTTAGACACCTAGCTACATACTCCACTATGTCTTTCCTCATCCGCCGCCACCAATAATGTTGTCTCAGGTCATAATACATCTTCGTGGCACCTGGATGAATAGAATACCGAGAACTGTGTGCCTCCTCTAGAATCCTCTCCCTCAAGCCATCGACATTAGGAATACATAGACGACCTTGGAGTCGCAGAAAACCATCCTCGCCAATAGAAACCTCCTTGGCACTACCCTGTAGTATCGTCTCTCTTAGAACTGCCAAATGCGGATCATCAAACTACCGAGCCTTGATCCGCCCCAATAGTGAAGACTGGGCAACAACGCATGCAAGAACTCGGCTGGTCTCTGAAATATCCAACCTCACAAGTATGTTAGCCAAGGACTGAATGTCCAAAGATAGTGGCCTCTCCTCTGCTGAAATGAATGCCAAGCTACCCATACTCTCTGCCTTCCTGCTTAAGGCATCCGCGACCACATTTGCCTTGCCCAGATGATAAAGAAAGGTGATGTCATAATCCTTCAGTAACTCAAGCCATATACGCTGCCTCAAATTGAGATCCCTTTGCTTGAACAAATGCTATAAGCTACGATAATCAGTATAAACCTCATATGACACCCTATACAGATAATGCCTTTATATCTTAAGAGCATGAACAACCGTGACTAACTCTAGGTCGTGCACGAGGTAATTCCTCTCATTAATCTTCAGCTGACGTGAAGCATATGAAATAACTCGCCCCTCCTGCATCAATACACAACCCAAGCCAACGCGTGAAGCGTCGCAATGCACCGATACATCCCCGAACCGGAAGGCAACACTAGAACCGGTGTTGTAGTCAAACCTGTCTTGAGCTTTTGAAAGCTAGCCTCACAATCATCGGACCAATGGAACGGAGCACCCTTCTAGGTCAATATAGTCAAAGGTGCTGCAATGGATGAAAAGCCCTGCACAAACCGGCGATAACAACCTACTAATCCCAGGAAACTCCTGATCTCAGTCATCGAAGTGGGACGTGGTCAACTTTGAACTGCCTCAATCTTCTTGGGATCCACCTTAATACCCTCTCCTGATACAACATGTCCCAAGAATGCCACCGACTCTAGCCAAAACTCACACTTGGAGAACTTAGCATATAGTTTCTGTTCCCGCAATGTCTGAAGCACCACTCTCAAAAACTGCTCGTGCTCCCCCAGGCTACGTGAGTAGATCAAAATGTCATCAATGAAGACAATGACGAACAAATCAATATAAGTCCTGAGCACCTTGTTCATCAAATCCATAAACCCTACCGGGGCGTTAGTCAAGAAGAAGGACATTACCAGAAACTCATAATGGCCATATCTAGTAAGGAAGGCAGTCTTCGGGACATCCGAGTCCCGAATCTTCAGCTGATGATACCCCAATCTCAAGTCGATCTTAGAGAACACCCTGGCACCCTGCTACTGGTCAAACAAATCATCAATGCGCAGCAACGGGTACTTGTTCTTGATGGTGACTTTGTTCAACTGGCGGTAATCAATGCACATCCG